CAAAGATATCTTTGCAGCACCGGGGGAGACTAAATTCAAAATTTCAACACTCCTAGAGACTCCTAGTACACAACAAAATGTATTTTAAAAAGTGATATGTCGTCCTTTAAAATTACCACCTGAGCTGGCTGCTTCAGGTTTTGCAATTTTATGCAGACTTTTATTGCTTTGATATGCAAGCATATTGTTATAAATGTGAGTCTAAATTCAACTGTAAGAACAGAGAAATTGTTCTGTTTTTTAAATCTAAGCTTTATTTTTTTTAAGTCTTTAACACGTGATGTTATGGGACAGTGCTCCATCTAGTGATCAAATAAGATGACTGTCTGAGTCATTCAGAGACTCTGGTTATACAGATTTGTCTGTTGTGGTTTTCTTCATAAACTCAGTTTTTTGTGTACTACAAGCACATAAAAAGCTAAATCCAGTTTCATGCAAATGGCTTCAGTATGACAGAGTATTAGGGCCACAACAAAATCTATATTTTCTTTAGATTACCAGATTAAAGTCATCATTTTACCAGAATAAAGTTGGAATACACTGCCCGGCCAAAAGAAAAGTTGCCACCTGGATTTMACTAAGGTCTATGATGTGGGGTTGCTGRTCAGGTCTAGGTTCAGCAACAGTATGTGCTCAAAGAATGAGGTCAGTTGCCTGAAYRTACTGAACGACCAGCTTAGATTTRGTAGAGTGCTGTGTGAATGGGTAAATGAGGACAGATTGTAGTGTGAAGCACTTCGAGTAAAGACGCTTCATTAGTACAGTCTACCATTTATACCATCAGAGAGGCATGCTCTCGGACTTTGAGCTGATAACAGGCCTTCTTTGGATGATAGAGCTTTAAGCAGCATCTGTGAATGGAACRATAAACTGTGTTTACAAGCAGAGATTTCTTCAGATTATTTTGACGGTTTTATAAACASTAGATCTCCCCCATTATTACAGGAACACTATTTAAAATTTATTTTACTCGTTTACATGCAGTTTTCTCAGCCTCTCTGAAATTTATGCTTTTTTAGGCTCAGTCCTATAGTGATCTGTCACCAGTTAACTTTTTTTTTTGTAAAATGCTCCTCCAGCTTTTTCTTGTTTGTAYCACTTTACATCCTTTTGTTGCCAATTTTCCTGCTTTTTAGAGATGCATTGCTGCCGTAACATTCGAATTGAATATATTGTGGTAAAATTTTTTAGTTTTATGATTTGATTGCTATGCTCCATTGTKATGGAGCTGTAGTAGCTCAGTGTTGTTTTAATATTGAGGATTAAGATTTGAGCTCAGGTTGTGTCAGGAGGGACATCAGTGTCTTTCAAGCAACGTTGCTCATTGTACTTTTCTCTGCAGACGGGATCAACTGAAAAAAAAAATCCTATTTTTTTCTTGTAAATAAAACTTGGCTTTATCAGTTTCACACATCATTTGCATTTTGCTTTATTAACATTTTATACAATGTCACATCTTTGGGAATTCAACAGCGTCCGTTCTTTACAAAATTTGTGGCTGTTTGGGTTTTCTTTATTTTGTCACGTATATGGATTTACATGTTTTCATATGTTCATATGTTTCATATGTTTTCAAGTGAAGGTTAGATAAACGCAACACCACAACAAGAACAGCTAAGAATGTTAAACAGCTTAAAAAACAACAAAACAGCTGACTATATTTCACGCTTCTTCATTGCCATCTTGATCCAGTTAAGCTGGTTATGTGTGAAAAAAGCGTACACCCCAGGCTTGTTCTTTATTCCACACCTGAATCCAAAAGAAGTGACTCCAACCAGAACTCCATTACATAAGATTGGTCCTCCTGAATCCCCCTACAGAGAGAGAAAACAGGTCATTCTCAGACGTTTCTGTTATTTAGCATTAAAATCAAAGGTTATTTCCACTCACCGTGCAGGTGTCTGCAACATTGTTACCATCAGAACCAGCACASATCATGCTCTTCGTGATAACAGGGTTCAGGTTATAATACTGAGGAGAGTTGCACTTTTGTCTGTCGATCACGGTCACGTTGACAGACATCAGGACGTCKGACATTTTTTTGTTCAAGTTGTTTGTTTTTCCCCATCCAGCCACCAGACAGACGGATCCAGCTGCCGGTTCTTTGATGGCATCATTCAGCTTGAGAACTTTGACCCACTTAGTTTGCTTTACTGGTTTATCAAGCTGAAAACAACACACAAAAAAGCATCACAACAAATTTTATTGCAAAAAGAAAACCAGCTTTTTTATAAAAATAAAACTAAAAAAATGTGCATTTGACACTTTYACAGATCGTAGTATGACTGGAAACACTGAGGTGTTTAAATGTCTTTATAAAAGCAAATGTGAACAAATTACAGCTGGGAATCAGATATTAACTACAAACAGTAAACTTTGTGGAAGAAARGTTGAAGAAGAGAGAAAGAAAACTGAAAGTGAGCAGAGTTTAAATAGCTGAAATAGCTGTTTTTAATTAATTTTTTCCAACATGTTATTTTTTGCATCATGATGTCACCTTACCTGGATCAACATGAGGTCGTTGACCTTTTCGTCCTTGCTAAAGCAGGGATGAGGAACCAGTTTCTTCACCTTTGCGACCTGCCTGGTATTTTTTTCATTTTCTTTTCCCTTAATGGAGTGCACCCCCAGGTGCACAGTCTTGATGGGCCAACTGACACTGCAAGGACAGAAACAGTTTGGTATTATTGTTGGTTGGGTGGACTGTGTGCAATAATGACACATTTAGAACTCATTTTTTTCTAAAGCAAGTGAAATATTTGAACTTCTGTTCTRTTCATGTTAAACAGAACATGTTACATATTACTAAAGACACGACTATTAGTGTGTCACTGACGGAGGCAAAGAAAATGCAGTGTCGCAAGGTTTTTCAGAAAAACAGATGTACACAAACCTGCAATGCCAAAACCCATGACTCTTTCTGACTGTTTTGATTTTTACTAACTTCRTTATCTTTTTGTTGCACAGTTATCTTGAATTTTGATGTGATACTTTAACATCAGACTAAGAAAAGTGGTAATAATTTTGCCAATTTGTTTAAAATGATTTGCTTGCCTTCTCAAAAGGGCTAAATACACTGCAAAAACTATCCATCTTACCAAGTTTTAAAATCTTACACCCAGCAAAAAAGTC